AACCATCTAGTCCTTTAAAGATCAATTCCAAAGATGTGGTAAGCTATTGGCAATGAGCACAGTCCTTATCTGATCCCCAATAGCAGCCAACCATCTTGCATCAACCACAAGACCTTTTCTGAGGATAACCCCCCATAGTAAGCATGTTACAAATAATCCAATTGGGAATAACTTGCCAAAACAGACTGCACCAGCTGTAATTATGCAGAGGTGCTGCTCACTGCAGATGCTACCTGCAAATTGAATAACACCCGTGGATCAAGAGGCATTCCCAGGCCACAGAGCTGCTCCTTCAGAAACTACACAACCCATCCAAGGCAGACTGAGGTTCAGACTGCAGCTCCTTATTTACGTACAGCGCCCTTTGCCGTGCCAGGACTGAACTTTTTTTCATCTCCCTTGCTCTGCCCTAAAGAAAAATTAGGCAAGGGAGAAAGTATCTCCCAGACTAATTTATGTGGCAAGAGTAGAAGTGAAACTCAGAATATGAGAACTTGGGAAAAGCAGCACATACACTGACGGGAAGAGTCCAATGTGCTTAATCAACTACTTGAAAATGATCTCTTTTGGTTTTATTTTCAGAAATGTATATCCTATTTATTCATATCCATGGCAGGCAGAGCAAAACACACTTTCCTGTTTCACAAAAAGAGGTGCCTTTTCTTGCTGAAAAGTACAGACAATATCCTTGTAATAGGTGATGTGATAGATGTACAAGTAGTCCTCAACTTACAACCAGAATTGAGCCCAAAATTTATGTTGTTAAATGAAAAATTTGTTAAGTGACTTTTCTCCATTTACGACTTTTCTCGCCACATTTCTTAAGCGAATCATTGCAGTTCTTAAATTAGTAACACGGTTGTTAAGTGAATCTGGTTTCCCCATTGACTTTGCTTGTCAATAAGGCGCAAAAGAGGATTGCGCAACTCCAGGATACTGCAACCGTCATAAATCTGAGTTAGTTAAGCATCCGAATGTAAATCACCTGACCATTAGGATGCTGCAACGGTCATAAGTGTGAAAAATAGTCATAAGTCACTTTTTTCAGTGCTATTGTAACTTTGATCACTAAATGAACTGTTGTAAGTCAAGGACTACTGGTATAAACACAGAAGACAATGCCAACATGCAACTATTCTCTTCCAAAATGACAATTAAGGGAGGAAAAAGAGACTTTCTTCTTAACTTCTCAGTTATGAATCAGATATACCTTGAAATATGGTTTCTAACTCTTAGGTAATAATTAGCATTTCTGTAACAGCAATTTGTTAGGATATCCTGGATATCTATGTCAGGCAGGCAAAGAAGATTGCAATCTGGTTTTTGAAGAAAATTATTGCCATATAACTTTCCCTATTGGACATCATATGAAGTCGCAATGCAGGGAAGCTGCAGAAATAAACACTCAGCTGCATCAGCAAGAGAAATGGTTGAAGAAGAAGCACAATTTTTTCCTATATTGTATATATTTGCTTTCTTACCACTATCATTCAAGCCTTATATTTCTCTCTCTTGGTGACCAATTTAATAAGGAGATGACCAATTTAATCAGTGTTTAACAAGACAAAAAGCATTCAAATATTCAGAAAACATTTGAATGCTCATTTTCTAATTTCAATATATAACAAATTGTAAACAGACGTCTTTGAAATTTGTACTTTTCGGAATTTAGCAGTCCCATTCTGCAATAACAAAAAAACAACAACACAATCGGTACAAAAAGACTTATTACTGCCATGTGCTCATTACAGCTGTTTGAATAAGCATATAAGAATAATATTTTGACAAAAATGTCAGGAAAAAATTGTTCTGTTTGCAATTTGTTTGTTTGTTTGTTATGCCTCCCATCTCCTGTTAGAAGGGATTTTTACCCAATTTTACATTGTCAAGTTAGTATTCCTTTAAAATTTTCATTTTTCTATATTTTATGATGCAATTATATTTTGTCAAAAATGTAAACTGCAAATATATATATATATATTGACAAATTTGAAATCTTTATAAAATGGTCCAGGTCCAATACAAGACTAAAAAAACAAAAAAATATTTCAGTACTGATACTCTTATTCAGGAAACCTGTTTCAGTGCTGGATTTTCGGATTCTTTTTTTACGATTTTAAAATCTTGAACTCATACAACAGGCATAAATACTGAGAAACATAGCTGACAAACTAGTAGATGTTCAGAATACCGCCTTCGTGTATTAAAAAAAAGTAAAATGTGGATCATTTTAATGGATGTTGAATCATGGTGATTTTATTTTGACATTAAAATTTTAAATTTTATATTAACATTTCAAAAATGTTTTTCATTTTCATTCACAACTTAAAAGGGAATTAAACTGAGTAGTAAATGTTCACAGAAGAATAAGATTTCTTCCTTCTCCCCACGCCAATTACCCCCAAAATACAGATGTAGACAAACTGCTTTTTAAAATTTTGTAGCAATTTTATCAAGTTGCAAAATGAGCTTAAATGAATCTACTTAGCATTAGTTGTAAAAAACAAAAGCAGAGCCATCTGGACAAAACTATGCATTAGAAAGAAACATGGGGGTCTTCATTCTCACACTCTCCTTATAACACTAATTTGGCAAGAAGAAAATGGCTTGTTGCATGAAGAATCATTAATGAGTAATGCACTATTAGTCTTTTCGGTGGAAAACAGCTTGTGCACGAATGGATCATGCAAGGCCCTTACATACAGGGTGGCCCACTGTGAAACTTCTATAACCCTTAGATTTCCATATCCAGGCAAGATAAAAACTCATAACAATGTATTTATATTCCAGAATTAAATCTGCTCTCGTTTGTTGTAATATTATGATTTTTTTTTAAAAAAAAGTCCATACAAAGGTAGTCCTTGACTTACAACCACAATTGAGCCCAAAATTTCTGCTGCTAAGTGAGACATTTGTTAAATTGAATGTTGCCCCATTTTACTGCCTTTCTTGCCACAGTTGTTAAGTGAATCACTGCAGGTGTTACGTTAGTGACACGGTTCTTAAATGAATCTGGCTTCCCCGTTGACTCTGCTTCTCAGAAGGTTGCAAAAGGGGATTACATGAAGCTGGGACACTGCAACCGTCATAAATGTGAGTCAGTCGTCAAGCATCTGAATTTTGACAAGGGGGAAGCTGCAATGGTCATAAGTGGGAAACGGTCACAAGTCACTTTTTTCTGTGCCGTTGTGACTTCGAACAGCCATTAAATGAACTGTTGTAAATCTGTATTTTATGAGAAGCTGTGAATGTTATTAGTTAATGCTTTACATATTGTCTGGTGTAAATTTTGAAGTTTCCCTTTGCCTTGTTTCTTAAATGGATAGCGCACTTTTGTGATCAGGCTGGACATCATCAGTGGAAAGAAAAGAAAAGAAAAACCCACCAGTGGCACCAACAACAACTGTGGGACCTCAATATTTTCTAACCACTCGAAGAACTGTTGAAATTAAGCAATGGGAATGAGAATTCTTAAAAGTTGGAGGGTCAGTGTTATATACAGTATTGCAGTGTTTATATTGTTGCTAAACTGTACATTCAGCAACAAACAGATTTAGAAACTGGCTTCTAGTTCTAGGTTGCAAAAGCATGCAGAAATATACTTTAGAAGAGGATACAGATAAAGGTTCAGCCCTTCCCGTGATCACATTCTTTATCACTATAAATCAAGCCATGAGCATCTTCTCACCAGCTAGACATAAAAGATGCACAAATACTTTTATCAAGTGAAGCAGTTTTCTTCCTGTGAATAATAAGCTTTTTGGCTTATATATTTGCCTGAATCCAAAATGGTCATCTTTGGGGTTCCCAAGGAACTGAGAGTTATACTGTACAATAAATTCAGGTTTCCAGACACTCAAAATGGTTCACAAGCTTGGTTAAGTGAAATTGAAATAAAATGGCAGTACATTACATATAGATGTGTCAGCCATTATGAATACTTGTATAGACTATATCTATATGCAACATATTGGCATCATTTATAATCTGACGGTGATTTTAACTAAAGAATTTTAAATTGTATTTTATCCAATTCCATTTTACATTGTTTCTATCAGATTTTAGTAATAATTTGTGTCTGGAACTCTGCACTTTGATATGGCCCAAGGGCTAATCAATAAAGTTAAGAACTAAAGAAGAAACAAAAATATGTGATGCAGTAGAGCTTGAAATCTGAGGAACTAAATACAGGATCTGAGATTAGGGAGTGGCTCAAAATGTAATGCAGAAGTCCATCTTAAAGCAGGGGAAATTCACTGTAACATTATTGCTTAAACAAACGTGAAAAAAATGTGTAATTGTATAACATCCAAATGTGAATCTATTGAGTTACATATAAGGAATAACAGCCCTAGGACTGCAATCTTAAATGTTCTTCACAAAAAAGCCCAAATTTTAAGCACATTGCACTGAAAAAGAAAATATTTTTTCCCCCAAAATCTGTTCCAAAGGAGATCTAGGAAAAGTCACTTCACCTTCACTGGTTTGCACAACACAAAGACCACATAGGCAATGAAGGAAGACCTTAACCCCTAGTGGACAGCCTCCGATGCAGCGTGGGGGGAAAAATAATCAAACCACATGGTTCAGATCCCAAATGATGAGGTTATCTGGGATAAAAAAAAGTTCCCTGAGAAGGAAACTACTTCCATGTGGACACTTCTGCTTCCTCAAATGTTGCAGGAGTGTTTAGAACTCATTTCTGCATGCTGCTTATTTATATAACTCAAGGCTGTGCCTGAATTTTACTCAGCCAAACAGTGTTGCTTAGTTTGAAGTTCTTGATGATCATAGAATTGTGGAACTCAAAAAAGGGAATCAAGGCCTAAGACTTTTTAAGATTATGGTCAACTCCAACCTTTCTTCAAAAAGACTAAGTCTGAGAGCCTGACTTTCCATTTTAGAGCTAATTGTCTCAACAGACTGATTCAAGGCAACATAGTGTTGTTGCTACAATTACCAAGAGAATCTGTGGTATCAAAACAAATGAAGGCACCTACCATTTATGAAAACTTCCATGTCCACAAGAGCCAAGCCAAACACCAAGAGTTCTAGCCACAAAAACATGGTTATATCCAGGGATTATATGTATCTTTACAAAACAGCATGTGGATGTCTGTCTCTGGAAAGTAAAATAAAAGTTATTGCTCTCTATGAAAGTCATGCAAAGTCCCCAGCATCAAATGTAGAACAGGCTGTACGCATACATTGAAACACGTCCTTATAATCCAAGAAGCAGCTTCCTCTGTCAAGCAAAATTTAACTACTGACAGTCACACTCTACAGCAAAGTGATGTCAGTTTTACTCACTTCTCTAAAACCACTTTTTCTTCTTTCTTCAGTTTCCAGGAAGTAACGAAGAGAGTTTCCCCCCCCCTAAAGTTATTGCAGTGCTGTTCTGATATCCTACTTAAGAAGCAATTGCTCCTGTAGAATTGAATGTTGAAGTAATTTTAAATACTCTTTCCTTTGATCAAAGAAAAAAAATAAAACCCTGCTATTAAAAAAGGGAATAAGGCAAACTTTTCTATGATTATAATATAGTGACAAGTTTAAAAATAAGTCTACACTAAATTATCTAATTCTTCTTTAAAGTACTCACTAGTAAAGTAAATGAAGTAACTGTGTTACAATTCTCCTTCGTGATCAAGGAAGCTATCTAGGGTTATGGACATTATAGTACAACAACATAAGAAGAAATTAGCCTGGGAGCGAATTTAAGAATCAGTCATCTAAATTAGATGTATGCAACTTTTTTTTTCAGACCGAGATCCATTTTTGGCTTTCAAGTAGAAGGTCTGCCTTCCAAAAACGAATGAGCTTAGGAGAAAAATCAAACTAAATTTAAATGTAATTATAATTATATTTATATTAGCATGCATCTAAGGTCTCTTTTCTGTTACAGTCCAGTAACAACTTCTAGAGGGGTTCTATCAGTGGTGGGTTCCTCCCAGTTTGGCCCGGTTCTGCTGAGCCGGTAGCGGTGATGATATGACGTCACCAAATCGGTTCTGCCTCCCCCCGCTCCGCATTATTCTTACCTTTTATTTGGTCCCACCCCCAATCTATTGCTGCCTCTTGAGTCCCAGCTGATGGCTAGAGGGAAAAAAACTGTTTAAACTCTTGGCGCGGGGCTTCAAAGGGCCACCCTACAGCTGATCAGTGTTAAAAGAAAACAAATGAGTAGACCGATGCCTGCAAAAATAAATGGGTAGACCAGTGCCTGCAAAAATAAATGAGTAGACCAGTGCCTGCAAAAATACATGAGTAGACTGGTGCCTGCAAAAATAAATGGGTAGACCAATGCCTGCAAAAATACATGAGTAGACCAGTGCCTGCAAAAATAAATGGATAGATCTGTACAGCTCTGCAAGCAGTTAAAAGTCTGGTAGACCAGTACCTCTGCTAAATCCTAAATAATTGTCATATGACCATCAAGCCGTGCCCACAAAATAAGCCACGTCCACAGAACCGGTACTAAAAAAATTTAGAACCCACCCCTGGGTTCTATGAAGAGTATGCATTCCTCTTACTGGTTGATCTGAGTGTAATGCAACATCAATCCATGGAAGGTCCATCAAAAAAGTCAACTGACCCTATTTCTTGTTTCCCTTACTTGCAATCATTTACACACAAAAAAATATGTGTCAGCATGGGGACAAGTGGGTATATGTGACTTTTCTCCAATCCTGTCTCCCATGTTAATTACCCAGTGAGTAATCCTATGCTAAAGCAGTTTTCAAAGCAGTAGAAATATTGAAGTAGAATCATTTTCTGTGAGATTGACAGCCATATAAATTTGATTAGTAAAATATAAATAAACCCTGATGAAACTGTCCCACAATTTTTATTGGTTTATTTATTTATTAAATTGACGTGCTACCCATCTCACTCTGAAAAGTAACTCTGGACAGCCTAAAATTAAAATATATATTTAAAAAAACCATTAAATACAAAGACAAGAAACAAAAGAGGTAAGATCGGTAGCATCTTTTCAGTGAATTCATCTGCCACCTTCAACACTGAGTGCCCCTATCAAGACTCCAAGGTAAGTGGTAGAGCCAGGTTTTAATACCCCCCTGGAAAACCAAAAGGGTGGGGCCAGACCTCAGCTCAGTCTGTTCAGGGTTATAGCTGCCATAATTTTTACAAAGTTGACAAGGGGGCTGATTTGGGAATAGGCTGGCATAATCTTTCTTTCCACAATAGCCTGTGTATTGTTAGCATATGTGCTGAAAAAGAGAAAAGAATAGGTAATCTTCCTGATGCTATCAGACATGGCATCCGAATTCTTGGGAGACAAAATTGAGTCCCCCATTTACCTATTGACGATAATCACTGGGCATTTTCATTGTGCCAGATGTTAGCTTCTTATGGGGGTGGGGCCGAAATGAAGTAAGAAGATATTGAAAAGTGGAATAACGAAAATCTGCCAATGACTCCTTTGATTTATACTTCAATCATTTCCGAAGGGGATATAAAACTGTTTCATAAGGCTCTCTGTATGGGGGAAAAACATGTTGTCTAGATATGCTAACTTCCATTGTAAGAGCCCATATACACAATCTTTATTCCCCCAAATCTTGACAATATGGTAATCTGTGTGTTGACATATCTCAAATGAACATCAGCCAATTATGGAAAGAAGAAATGAGCTTTCAGGACAACAAACTTTCTATTTTTGTGGAAGAGCCACTTGTTCTGATTTTAGTAAAAGCTAACCTCCCTCCTATTAGTCACATCATGGAAGAGTTGAAACCACTTTCAATTATGATATAATTGAATATGTTGTTTAATATATCAAACAAAACATGTAGTAGCAGCTGCTCATACGATTCAGAAGTCTAGATAGAATTCTGAAAGTACAAAGACAGATATGTGTTTGCCAAATGATCATTTAAGGGGAGCTGTTATATTTTTTTGCTATTTATGACAGACCAAGTGTTTAGCAATTACATTAGCTCTGCCATTTTCTATCTTCATTCTGCTAATGTTGTCACCTACTACATAGCTATCTATGTAGTAGCTTCAAAGAGTCCATTGGCAATTCCATCAAAAAGAGGTGCATAATTAGTACATGGGCCTACCCTTGAAAAGTGTTCGGAGACTACAGTTGGTCCAGAACGTAGCTGCGCGAGCTGTCATGGGTGCACCTAGGTACACCCACATTACACCAATTCTCCACGAGCTGCACTGGCTCCCTATTGGTCTCCGGTCACAATTCAAGGTGTTGGTTATTACATTTAAAGCCCTACATGGCTCAGGGCCAGGTTATCTTTGAGACCGCCTTCTGCTGCATAGCTCCCAGCGACTGGTAAGATCCCACAGAGTTGGTCTCCTCTGGGTCCCGTCAGCTAAACAATGTCGGCTGGCGGGCCCGTGGCTGGTGGGCCCCAGCTCTCTGGAACCAGTTACATCCTGAGGTCCGGACCATCCCCATCCTATTGGCCTTCCGAAAAGCGGTGAAGACCTGGCTTTCCGGCAAGCCTGGGGCCGTTGATCTCGCTCTTGTGATCTGGAGAGATCCGGCCATGAATGGTGTGAATGAGTTTTTAATGTTTTAATTTTTCAATGTCCTTTTATAATGATTTTTTAAATGTATTGTGAGCCGCCCTGAGTCTTCAGAGAGGGACGGCATTTAAATTAAATTAAATTAAATTAAATTAAATTAAATTAAATTAAATTAAATTAAATTAAATTAAATTAAATTATCTGATATCAGTAACTAGAGTGCTTTTTTTGTTTGTCACTGAATTTTGGGGTCCATGCCACGGCATCTTAAAAGATTTAGCATCTATCAAATTAGATAGGTGTTCTTTCTACTTTCTCTGAAAGAGAAGTAAGATGGCTTTTCTGGAAGTTGACAACTCTAGGTACATGTCTCCAAGAGTTCTTCTTAAAAGAAGTTTTTGGCCAGAAATTTCATGAAACAAACATTCCCAATTCCTCTACTTTTCTAGGACTATCAAATGTGGGCTATAGAAATCCAGATGGTCAAACAAAGAGATACTGAAACCTAAAACTCTTTCCTGTCTTCTTCTAGTTATCTAGATGTTGGTAGCTCTGATATGATAATCTTAATCTCATCCATTTTTCCAACCAGAAAAAGTGAGAGTTGTGTGAAGCTGGCTCTATTAGGAGGCTAGAAAAACATATTTAATGAGAAGGGAACTCAGAGAGAAATAAAGAGGAAACAGATGGATCAAAAAAGTTCACCAGTAGCCATGACATGACATGTTGCATATATCACAACCAGCAGGTATATGCAACATGTCGTGGCTGTTGGTACCCTTTGCATCTTTTTCAACAACTTTCCACAAATTCTTGTTTTTTCTTTTAACCGACTTCTAGTACATAAGACATTGTTTAAAGGAAGAATGAGAAGAATTGAGTATCATTAGTGTCATTTTCTTTATACATAATATTTTCTCTAATAGACCATCTGCACTTTTATTCAATTTCTCTTTGATGTTCATCTTGAAGGAAAATTACGATATTGATACAGGTGGATCGGTGTGTCTGTGTCTGTATGCGGCATATGAATTATGTGCTTGTGTGTGTGGGGGGTATGTGAATAATACATTCAGCTGAAGTTTATTTGGAAAAGCAAAAATATTGAAGATGCCAGGTTCATGCAGTCCTTGCTGTCAATTACTTACATTTTTTCTCAGTAGTTGTTAAAGTAACCTATTATACAATGGAATGCATTTAAATTTTGTACATAATATTGCTAATAATGCCTCCCTTGCAAAATTTTATAGGGCTCTGGCTAAAAACAAAACAAAGAGCAATATAATGATATTTTAAAAGACAAAGAAAATTTGTGTTGTGAAGTTTTGGGGCAATGGAGAGTTCAGGGTTTACATCAGTTAAAGTTATCTTACAGAAATAGCCAAGAACATAACTGAGGAGGAAAATGGAAAGAAGTAAGGGAGAAAGAAAAGATTCAAGTAAATTGACATTTTTAATAGGAAATCTAAATATCCAAATCAAATAGGATTGATTTGAGATTTAATTATACTTTGTATTGATGCAATAAAATAAAATTGTATTATTTATATCCAGGTTTTTCTCTAGGAACCTGAGGTGGTACATATCCCATAATCTTTCCCCAAAATAATAACCTTGTTGTGACCCCGACTTCTGAGCCTGTCCTAACAGAGGAAGAGGACTCAGAAGCTGATGGGGAGGAACTGATAAGGCCTCCCTCTCCAGGTCCCTCCTCTCTGGCAATGCCTCAGGTTCCATCCGAAGGCCAAGAGGAACAGCCTGG